TWYGTCCTTAAAGAGAAAAGCGTTTTTCGTGATGTGAAGATCCTATTCGAAAGAAAGTCTTATGACTTAGACGTACATAATTCTCGTGACTGATACTGAAGAGGATTCTGTCACATGACTGGAGAAAAATTTTGAAAACAACTCCATTCGAAACCATCATCTTTTTGTCTGGCTTAGAGCTTCTGCGTTTTTTAAACCCTTCTTAACGCATTAGACACGTTTTCTATATCTCAGATAGTATCAGTTAGTTGTGTGAATTAGTCAGAGATGTCACCGAGGGGCACTTCTTTGCTTTCTGCTGTCTTAATTTGAAATATTTTATTCATGTGTGAGCTAAAACTTTAAATTGGCCTTAAAGGCAATAATCGATTAGAAGATTCACGAAAATATGCACTGTTAAGACTGTTCTGCCCAGGTTGCTCCAACAACTTTGTCCAGAAGTTTGCATCATGTCGTAGAGACAACAGGGAGTAAGATGAGGTCGGCAATGTCTTCAGTTAAAAAGAACTAAAAGGTTCACACAATAAAAAATCCATCACCTATCATCAAGGATTCTAATGAGACAATCAGTCTCCTGAACACAAGAAGATACTCATAGCATTTCCGCCTTGAGTGATTCTGGAAGTCTTAAGAACCTCGGAACTTTAAAAAGTAAAGAATTAAATGAAAAATAGGAAACTATACGGAACAGCAATCATTTGCAACATTTGGATTCAAACTCACTACAACAAGAAAAAACTGATGTCACTCTGATTCCGAATAAGATAGAAATGATAAAAGGGAAAGTTGCGGCTGCAATCTTGAAATATACCGAGGAATTCATCTTTGTGGAAGCTGGTTTACGGCAAGGGAAATAGCCTGTTTAACTTTCAGCAGGTGTAACAAAATATCCCCGATACGGAATGTTAATTCAAAGATACTATACTGGTTTACCAAATACTTGTCAGTATCCTCCCAGAGTGCCCCATGAAAATTCAAGATCGGAGTGAGGTGTCTTCATTGTCCCAATCACAAAAAATACAGAAAAAGAGAGTGTATCTCTGGCTCAAGGCTGATAACTTGTTGAAAATGATTACGTCAGGCACGTACTAACTGTTGGGTCAATAAACCCATATGACAATGTTAATTTTCGATGGACAGGCCCTTTTGGGAAATTCAAGATCTTGGTTTTTCAGAGGCATTCTATTTATCAAAAATCGAGTTTCCAGATGGGATTTGAACCCACGACCCTCCGTGATCTAGTCGGATGCTCTAACCACTGAGCTACAGGAGACTCTATGGTGAGCAAGGGTCAATTAGTGGGTATGGTTGGGTTTCAGGTGACGTCACAAGCTTTGCTGAAGTTAGTGTCCGCCATGTTGGTGTCCCTCGGGTGTCAAATTTAT